CACACACACACACACACACACACACACACACACACACACACACACACACACACACACACACACACACACACACACTCAGAGCATTCTCTCGCACCACGGAATTATCCAATCCTGTCTCCTCCCCTGCCGGTCACGAGTTTTTTCAACACTGTTGTCTTCGCTCTCCTTCTGCTCACTGCCTTTCGTGTCGTTGGAAGCTTTGAAAACCACTCTCCTGTCTTCACTTCTCTTCTTATCCCAATAAACTATACTGCCCAGACCTGCGTTATCATCTTGAAGTTCCCTTTCTTCATCCCCAGTCTTCTGATTCCAACGGTTCATATCACCATAATCCTCATCGTCATCATCATCGTCATCATCGTCATCATCATCATCATCATCATCATCATGATCACCATCACCGTTTTGAGGTGATTCCAACGATTTCAACGTTTCATTATCACCATCTTCATTGCCATTCCCAGTCAACTGATTCCAACAATTCATAACACCATTATCATCCTTGTCATCATTAGCACCTTCATTATTATCATCATCATCATCAGTATCGTCATTATCACCCCCTGATCTGTGAGTACCATCCTGTCTATTCCTCAGCTCAACATCCTTCGCTCTCAATACTCCATCCTTACCGTTTTGAGGCCGATGGATCTGCCCTATCACACAGACCCATCTAAGTTCACACCCACTGTTCAAGCACCGCACGTTCAACTCCATTGGAATCCCGCCGCCGTCTCCTGGCTTTATAAAAAAAAGGTTCCTGAAGACTGATCCTCGCTGTCACTGACTCTCACATTCCTTCCTGCAGCTCCGCTTCATCACTTGCAGTGCCGTTCGGGACTGGAACTCTCGTGTGCTCAGCTGAGGCTCAAACACTTTCCTTCGAGCTCTGCTGGCCCTGGTGTTCACCCCGCTGTCTCTTCCCGCTTACCTTCTTCTCCCTTCCTTGTTCAAGAAACTGCCCTACATACTCTCGCAGCGAGTACCAGTCCCTTCCATCTTCTCAAGTGCTGCCATAGATTTCAAACTGTTGACCTTGGTCGTTGTCACTAAGGCTTGAACTGTCGACCTTCGAAAAAGACTTGGGCTTCAGCTTCAACCGCCGTTCCTTGAAGTCCACCTTCCCGTGCAGTCAGCCACGAGGGGAAGGTCCACATGCAGTTTTTTCCTATTCAGGTGTGCTCTTGCAGCTACAGTCTTCCACAGTCTGTATTACATGGCTGCTCCCAAGGGTCCTTATTCCAAGCTCAGAAACAGACACACCCTTCCGGGAAAAGACAAAAGAAACTTCTTCCTTGAAAGTTGGAGGAGCGAATCACACGGCCGTTGATCCTTCTCGCCCTACGGTTGGATAACGAATGCTTCCTTGCTCGTTTCCAGAGGAGTGCAGTCGCCGCTCCTACTCCCTTCCACCCACTCCATTCGTGCCCCGACGTCTGAGCTGCCTTGTGAGATGCAGATATCCGTATGAGAAACTGGCCGCATGTGAATCACTTCGATCTATTCCTTCCATCACTTATCAACCCGTTGCAGGTCATCCACTGTCCTTATCCCACCCGACCGCATAGGGCCCTCCCGAAGTCCCACCCGAGTACTAGTTACCATCTCATTTGGCTCCGCTCTCGTCAGCCTCAAACCTTTTGGTCCGCGACTTCATTCACTCGCCACCGTCGATCCTCTACGCTGAATGGCTAGATAGCCTAGACTAGCTACTTCTCCTACTAACTCCTGCCTTGCCTGCTGCGCCACTAGCCTCCGTCCTTCATCATCCGCTTCTTCAGTGGCTTGAAGGCATAGCGATACTTGAGTCTAAGTCTATAGGAGGTGACCATTCGCTGTCGTTAAGGCATGTTCCATAGGAAGGACGCTGCTCCTCAGCTTCCTTCGGCTCAAGAATATTCATGTGTGTTCATGTGGATCACCATCTCCACGGTAGTTACGTAGCTCAGAACTCCCTCCCCAAAAACCACCGATTATCCCTCTCCCCAGGACAAGTTCCTGCCCCTCATGCGCTGTCGTCTATGTAACAGCCAGATGAGAGACCCGCCTTCCCCGTGCTTTGCGCTCCGGGATATGACGGACGAACCCCACGCCCGAAACCCTAAAACTCCTTAAGCGCGCGCATCACGGATGTTGAGCGCTACGGCGCCGCTATCCGCTTCGTCCTTTCTCGCCCTCCATGTACATTTCCACAATGAAATTCACGTGTGTTCATCGTAGCTCAAAACTCCCTCCCCCAAAACCACCGACTATCCCTCTCCCCAGGACGAGTTGCCGCCCCTCATGCGATGTCGTCTATGTAACAGCCAGCTGTGAGACCCGCCTTCCCCGTGCTTTACGCTCCGGGATATGGCGGGCAAACCCCACACTCGAAACCCTAAAACTCCTTAAGCGCACACGTCACGGATGTTGAGCGCTACGGCGCCGCTATCGGCTTCGTCCTTTCTCGCCCTCCATGTACATTTCCACAATGACATTCTGGCAATGTCAATTTTGAAGGGTGGGAATTGCTATTTGCTCACTGTTGGACCCCTCCATGTCGCATCACAAGGCAATCTCCCAACATCCCACCCGTCAAGTTGCACATGCTTCATCTCAACTCAACCCCCATTTCCGCAGTGTGGTCCCTCTGGATCCCATGTCCCAATTTCCCAAAATAGCAGTGTGGAAATTGATTGGTGAGTCAGATGTCAAAGCCTCTTTGTTGCTCTTTTTCTCTCCTATCAAATTACAAATAAGTTGGAATAACTGCCATCTTTTCAGAATTTGGTGCGAATTTTTCCTTTTTTTTAAAGAGTAGACCCTGAGTTTGGTGGATGGGCCACAAAACAAATTGTCATTCATCCATTTATGTTTCCACTAACTTTGCTTTAAAACACAAGTTCGCCCCAAGCTAAGTGAGGAGCTTACTGCGGTAAGGCCATGACGCTTCAAGCCTGGGCTGGAAGTGACAGGAGGCCACCATAAAAGAAGACAGTTGGAGGCTCACGAGCCTTGTGGCTAAGGGGCTTGTTAGGCACTCCTCGGGTGCGTAAATCCCCCGAGGAAATCTTCTTTCCACCTATCCTCGAGGAAAAAGATAAAAAGAAAGAAGTGAAAACATTTCCTCGGGCCATCCTCGGGGAATCCTCGGGCCACAGCCATTTTGCGGCCTCCCCCAAGGTACCTCCCGAGGTCCCTTAGAGGTGAAGGATCTGCGATAATTGGTGCGGCGAGGGCTCCCGTCGTCGGCAGGAAATTATCGTTGGCTGGTCCACTGGAGTTCCTGCTGGGCAGCGCACGGACATCATCGGTCTTCAACGTTCGGCCTCCAGGAACCGTACCGCAACGGCAACCGTTGGTGGCCTGTCGACCCCCATGGACGTCGTCCACCGCCGTTCTCCCTGGAAGTGCGTGCCGCCAAACAGAAAGCGGCCCAACAGACGGAAAATTCAAATATTTGAGGCCGCCAAAATTTCTATTCCCAGCTACATGATGCGAGGCATGACGACGACATTTGTCGGATTCTCCAGTCTGTCGTTTGCTGCCCTCTTCTCGTCGCCATTTCCTGCCCTCGTGTCGTCGCCATTTGCTGGAGTCGTACCGACGTCATGCACTTACTGCCCTTCCCCACATGTCCTTCATGGCTGACGTCTTCCGAAGACTACCACTGCTGTTACTAGTGCTGGTCACACTTCTCCTTGTCATCGTCTTCCACGTGTGCATCCTCGGTAAGCTACCTGGACACACGCGCAAGAGGCGTTCAACGACGAAGGGCGTCATCATGGAAGGGCGGCAAGCGAAGAACAGGACTCCAGTGGACCGATTCGCGAGCTACCGGCCGCGTAGCGTCCCGACATGCAGTGCAAGGCCGTACGACCTGTCTGCATACACGCACCTGCCACCGCACGAACAACCTCTACTGGACACGTCAGATGAGGAGGCTGAGGAAGGACGGTCACGTACCGTGGCACTGGGAAGCGTCTCCACCCAGGAGTGGGCAAGGAGCCAGTTGTATGGTATTCGTGAGACGACGTCTCGACAGTCTTTCACCGAACTACTGGAAGACGATATGCATGAAGGCGACAATGCAGCCGGCATGAATCTTTCATTCGGGTTGTGTAGCGGGAACTCGTCAGTCGCCACGCGTACTGTCCTCGTCAACCCCCACCCCGACGACAACGCGGGGAAAGTGACAACAGTGAGCCAATCAGCAAGGGCTCCGAGCGGAGAGTGGGTGGCAGCAGGAAAGACAAGGGAACGTCTGAGAGTGCAGTAGCTGGCATCACCAGCGCCACGTGCTACTATCACTCGTCCGAACTGGATGCAGCCACCATCGCCGTTGTCGGGAGGTGGGAGCCGCACGACTGCCTGCATGCCGAAAGACGAAGATTTCGCGAGTGGTCCTGGTGAGCGGGTCGGCAGGCAGGTGTGGGCGGAACATCAGCAGTAGGTGCACCGAGAATGTGAGGAGTCCATAACGCATGGGCTCCGGCGACTCCGCGTGCGGAAGGTGAAGACAAAGAAAGAGCCAGAGGTAGTGGACGCCGACGATTATGACGACGACGCCGAGGACGACGAATGGCAGGACGAGGAGACGGCCGACGTTCGGCAGATCCGACAGAAAACCATGGGTGGTCGGTGTAGGATGAGCAAGGGTTCTGCGTCGACAGCGCGACGGGGAAAAAAGGGGGCGGCTGTGGGGAGCGAGGGGGAAGGGGACGTGGAGGGCGAGGCCAAGCAGCGACCAGGCAAGGAAGATGTTGGGGGAGAAGACGCCATCACAAGTCGTCGGGGGAGAAGACGCCATCGCGGCAGTCGTCGCCCTAAGTACTGCGTGCGGCCATGCAAAGAAGACGTCGGGGGAGAAGACGCCATCGCGGCTGGTTTGGGAGCGATGGACAGCGGCGACACTTACGTCGGTGGGAAGCTGTCGACGACCGAGAGGACGGCAGTGGCCGCAGCTGTTACCGTGGTCCTCTTTCGTTGTCAGATGGAGAGGATGACGGGGCGAATGAAAGCGCAGATCCGTGCGAGGAGGAGGAAGGTCGCGCAGTGCACAGCAGTGGAAGGGTTGGACACCGCTGCCATCTGTGATGCCGTTGTTCATGTGTGCTGCACCTTGGGTTGCGGAGCTCTTCCCGGAGCAACACCGAGGTGGTGGATTAAAAGAAGGACGGGCAGGGCGTGGGACGATCTGCGGCAATGGGACAAAGCCACGGAGGACTACTTTCGGGATAAGCTGCGCATGTCGCCACGTGTCTTCCGAGAGATTGCGGAAGCTCTATCGTCGTTCCTGCAGCGGCATGTGACATTCTACAGGGAGCCGCTGCAGCCTGGTCAGATCATCACGTACGCGTTTTCTCGATGGGCATCGGGGGAGACGTACGAGAGCAGCACGTGTAACTTCGGCATCGGCAGAGCATCAGGTTTGGTGGCGGTGCGGGATGCCACTGCGACGTTGCTAACGGTCTACCGTCACAAGATATTATGGCCGACGGAGGTGCGCAAGGCGGTTCTCCTCCGTGCTTTCGCTGGCAAGGGGTTCCCCAACTGCCATGGCTGCATCAACTGCACACATATCTATATCGGCAAGCCGGCAAACGCCCCTGGCGAGGACTACTACGATTGGAAATGACGTTTCTCGATCATCGTGCAGGTTGTCGTCGATCTGAACTTGTGTGTGTATGACGTCTTCGTCAGCCATCCTGGAAGTTGCCACGATGTCAGGATCATCCACCTATTGAGTCTATGGGAGCGTGCAGAGGCTGGGGAACTTTTCAGAGGCCCGCCTATGATGCTGCCATTCGACATACAGACGAAGGCTACCTCATGGGCGACAATGGTTACCCACCATCCGAATGGATAGTTGTTCCCTATGGCTGCACTACTCGTCACCTGTCGAAGATGCGGTTCGACAACAAGCAGAAGACCACGAGGGGGGCAGTTGAGAGGGCTTTCGACAGAATGAAGGGGATGTGGAGGTTGTTCCTGCGGTCGCACAAGACGAACATGGAGATGTTGCCGCAGCAATCTGTGGCTGTGTGCATTCTCCACAACCTACTCATCGACGCCAGCAACCCGCTTCATGACAATCTATTGTGAGAGGTGGATACGAACGGAGTGCGCCGTCATGTAGATCTGGGAATCTAGTGTCCCTTGCGGCCAATGTGCATGGAGAGCTTGACGGGAGATGCGCTGATTCTGAGGGATGCACTGGCCGAGAGGATGGGTGGCCTCTGATGACGCTCGCAGGAGAGAGAGAGAGAGAGAGAGAGAGAGAGAGAGAG